AGTGGTGAGCTGGGGAAATCGTGTGTCTCCAGGTGCAACCTGTTGTGCACGAGAAATTGAGCCAGTAAATCAGCAGGAACAGGGAGAGCCCCTGGCTGCTTGACTGCTACGGCTATGAGACCTAGGGGTGGATGGTGTAACATGCTCTAGAGACTATGTAGTAAATGCATGTTGTGTTTGTCTGGAGGCAAAAGGCTCAGAGGGTGCCACTTAAAACCAATGGCCAGCTAGGTGCCATAAAACCTGAGAAAAGAGTGCCACATGCAGATGGTCAGAGGACCCGAGGATGGGTGCCCCTGCAGAATTTCAAGTATGTTTTCATCTGGTGAAAAAGTGGAAAAATTATTCTCCATTACTATGCACCAGTCTGTGCAGCGGTTACAGGATAGCCACAGATATGCACAGAGGTAGGGCAGACACTCCTTGTTGGACTGGGTGAATGCAGCTGTTTGAACTGTGGGCAAATGCTGCAAAACTTCCAGTGTAAGCCAAGCTGATTGAAGTAATTCAAAAGCCAGAATGTAGAAATGGAGAGCAGGAGAAAAACGCAAAGGTGAAGCAGATAAACTGTTTGCTAAAGACATTGTCTTGGAGGTGAGGCAGTCAGATACTAAGAGCCAAGACCATGGGGAAAAATGCCCTAAATGCATTTGAGAAGTCTGGATGGGTGCCCCACCCATCACAGGCCCTAAGGGCATTTGAGAAGTTTGGGAGAGTGCCCCTCCCCCATCCTAGGAGAACTGAGTTTGTCCAGGAGGTCAGACTTGAGGTGTCATTGCCCTCAGCAAACTGCTCCCTGCATCCCAGCCTCTCTGGCCGAAGCAATCCTGTCTCAGCGCCTCTGAAGAAAAACCCAAAAAGCTCGGTGGCGTTCACATTGTGTTAAGTTTGCGCACTGCAGTATATGAGAGCAGTGGAGGCATGGCTGCCTCCACCTAGATTTTGAAAGATGTATGGGAAAGCCTGGGAACTCAGGCAGAGATCTGCTGTGGGGGAGGGGGAGTTTTAGTGAAGCAGGCAGGGGGGTGTCTGCCTAGCACAGCCATGCTTTCCAACCTACCCCCCCCCGGATGGGCACCGTGGGTAATTCAGAGGGGTGGACCAGGTGTTCCCAGGCACGGGCAGGAGACATCAGCTGGCCTCTCACTGACAGCTTTGGTGGTCTTCCCTCCAGCCCCTTCCTCATGTTATAACCCACATGTAAGTGTCCTAGGGTCCCAAGCCCCCCCACTTGTGCAGTCATCTGCTCTTCTTGGGGCTGGGTTGGAATGGCACTGTGCTGCCTAGGGACACACAGGTGTGGGGTCCTGCACCCCAAGAAGAAGTGCTGCCTGGACCGTGGGCAGGGGCCCACCCACAGGGAGGCCTGGAGAGCAGTGTTTAGGAGAAATAGGAGGTGGAACCAGGGGTCTGGGGAAGACCAGGGATGGTGTGGCTGCTATTCCCAAACTCACGAAGGCCCAGAAGATGCAGTGGGGGTGACGGGGACTGAAAAGACCAAGGAAGCATTTGGTCACCATGCTGCCTGCTCTGACTGAGTGGCCCGGTGCATCAGTGACCACCTCCCCCTGCGCCAGCAGTGAAAGTGGGGCTGGGAGCCTGTCACAGATGCTCACAGTGGGGGTGGGGGCTTGGGCTCGGCCTCCAGAGGATTCCCCAGGCCTTGCACTCTGAAAGAAGGGCCTGCCTGGGACATTAAACAGACTGGCCAGAGGAATGTTTGTGTCTCACTCGCCCGCCTGCCCACAGACAGCCCAGCTTTCAGTGCATACACAGTGAGGGGCGGGAGTGCCCTAGTGTATCTTAGAGAAGCACTGCCTTCCCCATCCCCAGCAAGGCCCCAGTCAGTGCACTGTCACATGGAGTCCCCCATGTCCCAGGAGGCCTGTGCTGGAGGCCTGCTGCCGACTGGCTGGGGTGGCCAGGAGGAAGTGTGCTGCGATGCCGCTGGCCCCAGGTGCCCGCCCTGCCCTGTCCTCTTGACGTCAGCGAAATCTACCCGGGCTGCAGGCAGGGCTGGTGCCATCCCCGGCCGCTGCACACCTGGGGCTGTCGGAGGCACTGTGTGCCCAGTGCTGCCCCTACCCAGGCTCCCGCGGGGACGCAGACCCAGGTCCAAGCCGCACGCCTGCCGCCGCTGTCTGTCCGTGTCTGCTCTCGCCGCCGGCCCTCGGGGGCCTGCACCGCGCTGCCGGCAGCACCCTCGCCTCCTGCTCCCGGACACATGCCCATTGCTTCTCCATGCCGCCCTCGCTGTTGTCTGCGTGGTGACACTGTTGGGGTGGGGACCGAGGCCCCTGCCCCGCCTTCCTCTCCATGGCCTCCTTGATTGGCAATCTCATGAGAGGACATTCTCTTTCCTGCCCAGCACAAACCACCATTCAGCTTTGCAGAGGGCGGCTTTGTTTTGGGGTTTATTTCCCTGGTTTTGTTTGGTTTTCATTTTCTCCAGGCATCTCGTCGCTGTGCCTCGTCACCTCACCTTTCTTTTCTCCCACTCTCTCCTCCTCCACAGATGCCACACGCTGGCAGCTCTGACCAGCCCCATCCCTCCATACAACAAGGTTTGCACGTACCACACCCCAGCAGCCAGTCAGGGCCTCCATTACATCACAGTGGGGCTCCTCCTCCTCCTCCTTCCCAGCCTCCCCGGCCGCCGCCACAGGCCGCTCCCAGCAGCCATCCACACAGCGACCTGACCTTTAACCCCTCCTCAGCCTTAGAGGGTCAGGCCGGAGCGCAGGGAGCATCCGACATGCCGGAGCCTTCGCTGGATGTAAGTTGGGGTGACCACTCGCCTTGGCCTGGGGCTGGGCCTGGCACCAGGACTTGCCACAGAGAAGGGGTGGTTGTTGAGGGCTCAGGCCCTGGGGGAGGCGGGGGGTGGGCCCCAGCCAGTTTCTCCTGGCTCCAGAACCAGGAAGCCCCACGATGGGGAATTGTCACTGAGGGTCCCCTCCCCGACCCTGCCAGCCCCTGCCCTCAGCACCCTTAGCCATAGCCCTGTACCCAAGTCCTTTCCCACCCTCCACCCAGGCCCTCGTAGGATCCCTGGGGCCAGGGGTTTGGAGGCAGCACAGGAGAGTCCCTGCCCTTCCACCCTTCCCCATGTCGAGCTTGCTGTTTAAGTGTCTGCCACACTCTCTGGCCCGAGGTGGGGTGTGGGGGCGGGGGGCCTGGAGTGCCAGGGCCCCTCTGTCTGTCTGTCGGGTGTCTGTCCGTCTCCAGTCTTCCTGTCATGTGTTGTCCATGCCCTGCTTCTGCTTGCTCCATCGCTTACTCCGAGAGGCCCCTGTCTGGGGTGACACAGAAGGTGGGGGGACAGCAGGATCAGCCTCGGGTCACAGCTGGAGGGCAGCAGGTCAGAGTGGGGCTGAGGTTCAGGGGTAGGGGTCTCCCACCTCGAGGCCTGACTGGTCTGGATGGCGGAGCAGGACACTGAGTGACTGCACAGATGAACAGGGCTGGCCTGGATGGCACAGAACATGTGGCCTGCCCATCCCCGCCTGTGGGAGCCAAGGACTATGCTCGGCCCACACCCCTCGGCGCTGGACTCCCCAGAGGAGGCCTGCCCACTGCCCAGCCGCTCTCGTCCCTTACCCCAAGCCCCACTCTGTCACCACTGTCCTGGCAGCGTCAGAGGCTTCGTGGCAGATGGGATCTCACCCAGCTCTCCTCCCCAGACCAGGCTAGTAGAGACACTTTTAGACTCATGAGGCTGCCCCAAGCGATAGGAAGACTCCCAAGTCTGTCACAGTAGAGAGAAGGGACACTTGGTAGCCTCTGCCAGATGCTACAGGCTCACCAAGAAGCAGCGAGCTCTTGGGAGAGGTCCAAGGACCACCTGGTCTCTCCACCAGCCCACCTCCTTGTGCTTTCATGGGAAACCATGTGATCACTGCTGGGAGGCCGGTGTGCCCAGAGCCTTCGGGCAGTGTCTGAGGGGACAAAGGAACACTCTGGTCAAGAGGAAGCTCCTTGACCCACCAAGAGGCCTCCCTGGTTGTGTGCAGGGCTGAAGTCCCTTCCTGAGAAGGGTTAGTCCAGCTCAAGTCTCAGCCACTCCCCCAGGCTTGAAGCGCACATGGCTGGCTGCAGACTAGGCGTGTGGCCTGGGTGTGTTTGGGGACAGCCAGCAGCCCCACGCTCAACACTGTTAGTTCCCCTCTTCTCGTGAGGACCCCAGGTGGCAGGTGGAGCGGAAGGGGGAGGGTGGGGGGTGTGCTCATGCATCTGTCACCTGCGCTGGCCTCTTGGCTGACACCTCATCTGGACTCCCATGCTTCTTTTCCAGCTCCTCCCGGAACTCACCAATCCTGACGAGCTCCTCTCGTACCTGGACCCCCCTGACCTGCCGAGCAATAGTAATGATGACCTCCTGTCTCTATTTGAGAACAACTGAACGCCACCCTCCGTCGGGGCCATCCCTCCCACTCTGCCTCCTGCCCTACTGCCCCACACACTTTTCCACCAGGGAGCCTGTGCCCTCAGACCACCCCTCACCTGGAACCCCAGGCTCGGGGTAGGAAGCCTCCCCTGCTGCAGCCTTCTCAGAGCAGAGGGGGCAGGGAGGGGGCCTGTGTCCCGCTCGTGCGCTCTGGGCTTGGGCCCAGGCTCAGGACAGGCCCTGAAGACGACCCTCCTGAGGGGAATGGCCCAGTGCGAGGGCACACACTGTTGGTGGCTCCCGGTCCCTCCGCGTATGTTGATTCCAGACAGCCTTCCAGTGCCCCGAGGTTCTTCCATTTTCTAAACTGTAGCCCTGCCTCCTGCCGAGAGCCTCCTTCAAGTGACTGTGGAGCCTGAGAGAGGGTCCCCTCAAACCCAGGTGGGCCCCAAACCTTGGAGGAGCAGTGGCAGTGGGTGGTGGTGAAGCCCGCCTGCCCACCACCCACCACCCACCACAGAAAAGCACAAACCTCTGGGAAAGAGAACATCTCTCGGTCCAAGGGTCGTCATTCTGACCCTTGACCTCTAAACCAAGACACCCCATTAATGCTCTCTCTCGGAAAGCAGAGGAAAAGGACAAGATTCTGTGTTTGAGAGAGGGTGTGCCATTCCCTCCGGGAGACTGGTGGAAAGAGGGGGTCAGGGCCTCCCAGAGCCAGGACGACACCTCGGATGGCTCCGCAACCTTCAGGCTCAGAGCAGGGCCCAGCCTTGACGGCAGAAAGAGAAGAGCAGGAGCGTGCGCCCAGCCAAAATGATCGCGCCCTCAGTAGGGGCGGGGGGATGCCGCGGCCGTGTCGAACAGGAGCAGCAACTTAAACAGCTGCTCCAAGCCACTCCCTGTTTTTAAACAGCAACAATTTAAAGCTATGAAGTCACGTGGAGAAAAGGAACGTTGCACTCGGACAGCAAGGAAACCATTTCTCTCCATGTGTCTGTTCCTTCCTCGGGCTCCCTTCTGCCTCTCCAAGACTGTTCCATGGGACACCCGCTTCCCTCTGTGTCCTGGTTCTTGTGTGTCCAGCCAGACAGGCCAGGGGCATGTGGAAGGGGGTGGGGTGCTCAGCAGCAGGAGCTAGGGCAGCCATGTGTCCAGCCTCTGTCTGTCCTTGTGCTCAAGGCTGTGCTGACTGGCTGCAACCCAGGCTTTCACCACGCCGTGCCAGGACGTGCCTGCAGGCACCACGTGGTTTCTTTGGCTGCCTCCCCTACCCTCTGGGTCCCCACCAGCAAAAGCTCCTCCCACACTCCTGCCTCACCCAAGCAACAGCAGCCTCTGGCCCCGCTCCACTGCTTCACTCCATCTGGCTCAGTGCTCCCCAGGGTCTTCCTGGGAGCTTGTGCGTCTGTTTTGTTTGAGGCCCATCTCTGCCCCCCTAAACCACGTGGCCTGGGGTGATGCTGGGTTGTCTGCTCACTTGGGTCCCGTCTAAGTCCTTTGCGCCCTTCCCTGCTGCTGCCCGGCACCCTGGCCTGCTCTCCCGTCCACATCGGTGATCTCTATGGCAGTCTCTCTCCCCGTCTCCCCTTGGGTGGTCCCCAGCACTCCTCTGTGGATTTTACCAGAAAGGTGGTCCCTGCTGTTGACTTCCAGCCATTGTACCAGACGGCACAAGGTTTTCTGTAGGAAAGCTGCCATTCCTCCCCACCCTTTTTTTTCCTTTGTCCTGCTGTCAAGTTTTTTGCGAACAGCGTGTTGTTCAGTATGCAAATCAATTATTTTAATGAATCGCTTTTGTAAATATCTTTGTGAATATTTTAGTATCGTCTTTGATAATATTCAACATTTTCATGACCTGGTTATAGCCTTTGCTGGTGTTTTTAAAATACCTTGACTCAACAACAAAGACCGAGTCCTTTTTTTTAAAAAACAAAAACAAAAAAAAGCAACCAGGGCTATTTGTACAGATGAAGGGACAAACTATGGGTGGCTGTACTGGAAGTTGGAAGACCAGGCATCTCACTGTGTAGAGCCGTCCCCCAGTCGGCTGGGGGGGACAAGACAATGCCAGGTAGCATGTGAGCTGTCCTCACACAGTGCCTGTTGCCTCGCAGGCGGCCACGCTCTGTGTCGGACCATCTGGGAACGTTTAGCTCCAGACAGACTTACGATGCCTTCCTTAGGAGTTCCTGCTTCCTGCCGTGATATTTTTCCCAGAAAGGCCTGGGATCTACTGTGGTTCTTATCAGGGAGTGCCCAGACTCTGCTCACAGGCTACCCACAGCTTTCTAATGCATGGGGTGTCGATGCTCCCTGCGGCCCAGGATCCTCCCCAGCCATCTCTGGGCTCAGTACCTGAGGCTGGTTTCCTGGGTTCCCTCCCAAGCAAGCCTCCACCAGCAAGTTCAGCAAAGAGCTTTCTTTCCAGCTGGCCCTGAACCGTGGTGCCTGCAGCCCACACTCTGGGGACGTCCTTCTAGAGTGATTTTGGAGCCAGGCCAGGGTGTGAGGGTGGTACAAAGGCATCCAGGGCAGGAGCAAGCCCCACATAGTGACAGATGCACGTAAAGGCAATATCCTTAAGCAGGGACAGTCCTGAGCTCTGGAAAGATAACTTCCCTGATCCTTTTAGATGAGTATTTGGAGCCATAAGTAACCTCAGCAAAAACAAGGCCTCCAAGCCACTTTTCCATGACAAGCATCCACCCAGCCCATAGGCATGTCTCTGCTGCCACTCCACAAGACGGACAGGGAGCCACCGGGCAGGTGGGAAGGGCAGGTACAGGCAATCACCCCCATCTTCTTGGTTTGAAGCTTTATCCATGTATCATGTTCCCTGTAGCCATTTTATTCTTTAAGAAACTTCTAATACTTTCTCCCTGATGGAAGCCCTAACCCTCCCACAGAGAGCTACAGGTCTGCCCCCGACGGGCCTCGGGCCCGACCCGTCCAGACAGGGTAGTGCCAGCAGCAGCAACTCAAGGGACGTGTGTACATATGTAAATGAGGAATAGAGACATGTCAACAGATGCATTCATTTCTCTCGGAATGTGTATTGTTTTTATTTTATGAAACAAGACAAAAAAAAAAGGCTTGGAACTCCATCTTACGTGGAAAAACTAGATTCTGTTTGTTAGCGTTTGTGAGTTCCCCACGTTTGTCTCTCTCATGTAATATACTCTGACCCTGTGTGGAAAGGAATTTTTGTTCTGTTTTGTTTTTATTTTACCTACATGTACTATTTAGCTTCAGTGTACTAGTCCTGCCACCTGTGTATTTTTAGGGTGCTATGGAAATAATGAAAAGAAATGGGGATTTCAGAAGAAAATTGTAACCAAATTCATACTTTGTATAATTTTTGATATCATGATCGCAGGTGATCCACACGTACACACGTACACACACCCACGTGCAGCCTGAGTAACCCACGGAAACCGTCATCGTCTTTGTACATCGTACGTACAATGCAATCATTTCATACTTTCAACTGGTCAGAAAACTCATTGTGATTTCTAGTCTTGCAAAGCTGTATGTAGTTAGATGATGTGACAACCTCTAATATTTATCTAATAAATATGTATTCAGATGAAACCTGTATATTAGGTGTTCATGTGGTTATTTTGTATTTAAAGATCAAATTATTTGACTATTGCTAGACATTTCTATACTCTGTTGTAACACTGAGGTATCTCATTTGCCCATGTTAATTTTTTTCTAAATAAATTGACAAAAACGAAGGTTTGGCGAATTAGCTATTTTGTGGATGTTAAGGAGTGGTTTGGGTGTTTTTGCTTTTGTTTTTAAACCACCTCCCCTGCCCTGTCACCCTGCACACACACAAACAGTCGTGTGGTGTGGGTGTTGGGCTGGAAGAGCCTCTGGCCCTGGCATCCCTGCAGGAGGCCCTGGAACCTGGGGGTAGGTGAGAGTGTTCAGAGCCCTGTGCCTTCACCTGCTTCCGGTGGGACCCCTGTCTCCAGCAGGCTCTGCTCCCAGCAGTGGCACCTGCAGGTGGGGCAAGTAGACTGCACAGCAGCCAGGGGCTGGATGGGGGTGGGTGGGGGACTGGGTCTTTACCAGGTGCTGGAGTCTCAGTTGGGATGTGACTCCAGGTGACCCATAGTGTCCAGTCTCTGGTAGTTCCTTGTGAACTGTTCTGGGTTCATGTTAAGCCACAGCGGGCACTGTTTGAAGCATTCAGGAATGAAGACGTGTGAGCACAGCCAGGCTTCTTAGAGCAGGATGTCAGCAGCAGCCACTGTCCCTGTGGGCCATCGCACACGTCTGCGTCTCAGCACACTGCCCTGCTGCCCTCGAGGGGAGCTTCTGTGACTGCACTTCCACCCGGGGCGTTCTCGCTGCGGCCCCATGCAGCCCGCAGCTCTAACCATCCTTACAGCCTCAGCCCCCGCACACACTGCCTGCACCTCCTGCGTCTTCGGTTTAAGTTTTGGGGAAGCAAATCTGATTGCAGAGCCCAGTGGCCAGTCGCCACTCTTCCCCCCCTGGCCTGACCACTGGGCCAGAGGAAGAGAACAAATGTGGCAAGTTTGGCCACCAGGGCCTCCCTGGGCAGGTACTGTCCACAGACAGGGCTGGGGGCTGGGCAGGCACCCCCAGTACATCCACCCTGGTATATCCAGAGTGGCTGTGGGACGTGTGTCAGGAGAATGTGAGGGGCGTGTCTGTGCACGAGCAAGCAGGGGAGGCCACCCTGGAGCCACCTTGAGTCTCCCTTTCTGGTGGGAGGTGGAAGGTGACAGGGAGAGGAATCTACAGTAAAATTGGAATCCTGATCACGGCTAAGCTGGGGTGCTGCCTTCTGCCAGCACTGCCAGGCCAGGCTGTGTTTTTATCTGAGAACAGACACTCCTTCCCGAGGGCGGTGGTCAGGCAGTCTTGGGAGAGCCTCCCGCAGGGTGCACCAGCTCCCTGTCCCATATCCTGACCCCTCGAGCGACAGCGTGGGGGTGTGACCCGCACTCCTTAATGAAATAGATGAGAATAAAGTAGAAAACACCAGAAGTATACCCAACAAAGCAAGGGGAAGGTTTGCATCAAGAAACTTTTGTTGCAGGGGGTATGTGTGCATTTGTACACACATTTGCAAGCTGAGTCATGAGGTCAATTTTTACTTGTGGGTTGTGGTTAAAAACAAAAAGTTTGAATGTCATTGCCTTAAAGGCAGGAAGTGGGCAGGGGGAGGGAGGGCAGCGAGCTCCCCTAACTTCACTATGAAAAGCAGACTTTCCTGACATCTTAGCTCAAGACCCTGACACCAGGAACACAGCCGTACGCAGGCCTGTGGCTACCGCACAGCGCAGAAGGGAGAACTGCCGGCCACGCCCCAGCCAGCTCCTCCAGAAAAGGGCCACTTCCTTCAGTGGGCCTAACCCTGGGATGAGAAAAGGCCACCAGAAAGGTCCAGTGGAGGGCCTGGTGCAGGGCAGCTCGGAGCTCAGCCTTCCCTGATGGCTGCCTTCCTATACCTGGGCCACACCTCGGGGGTCATCTTGGTCTCTGTTCTTCTCCAGCCCACCCTGCGAGGCCAGTGCAGTGACCGCTTATGTTACATTGCTTCGGCGTCCATTCCAAATGTGGGTTGACTTTCTCATACCAGAAGCAGGCTGGCACCCTTGACTCAGTTTTCATTTCTCCCCCAACCCCCACCCCATGTCCTCAGCGAGGCCAATCCAGACATCTGCCTTAGACCACTTCCCTATGGGCAGCTGCACACGGCCTGCTCGACTCACCCCGCTGACCCCCACACCGCACATGGGCTGTGCAGTTAAGGCCACAGTGATCACCTCTCAGTCACCTCTCAGCTTGCTTTAAACCCACCAGTTAAAACTCCTGTTTGGGTAACGCCCTGGTCCCAATAGAGGCATTGGCCCATGGGTCCCTCTGGCTCCTTGCCTGCACTCCCTGACCTATGTGTGTGGGGTCTCTGGTATGCCATGTACCACCAGGGCCTGGAATTAATAGAATCTTTATTTCCATTTTGTGTCTCTCCTAATCTTTGGAGGGGTGCTCTCTGTCTTAAAGATCCTAAATTAAAACTGCCTCCACTCTGACCACTGACTGTGCCACCGCATAAGGCCATAGGTTGCTCTTGGGGAAGGTCATTCCACCCCACAGGTTGATGCCAGGACACATGGGGACCTCCAGCCTCACTTAGTCCTCATTGCATCCATCCTACCTTTAATGGGTCCCACCCACCCTCCTTTGTCCTCTGCTCCAGCCTCTAACTCAACAATGCCCACCTCAGCAGGCTCCCAACCCTCAGGCAGGTCCCTACCAACCACCCACCACTGACCACAGGCCCACCTCCATCCTCCCGCCACCCTTGACATCACCCCCTTCTCTTCTGTGAGGGACTTCACCACAGCCAGCCCCTTTCCTGCACCTCCCGCCTCTCCCCTAGCCCAGGTTTGGGCCCTGGCGTCAAGAGGGGGGCTGGGCCACCCACCTCCACCCCTCGCCGTCCAGACTCTCTGCTCCTTCTCACACAGGCTTCTCAGCCTGGCTCACTCTCTTTCCTCTGTCACCCTTCATACACCTGGTTCGTGCCCACCTCTTCTCTTGCAAGTTCACCAGTGGCCTCTCAGTTGCTAAGATCCATGCTGCTTTTGGAGACTGGACCTCACGGCTGCACTTGACAGTTGCTGTTTCTTCCTTGCTTCCTTGAAACTCTCTCGTCTTGGGTTCTGTGACAATTCCCTCTTTTGGTTCTTCCATTCTCCTCGAGTCCCTCTGGCCATGCCTTCTTTGCCTTGGTCATGGGCTCCTGCAGTAACTATGTACTTGGGCTGCTTCGTAAAGACCTCCATTACCGACTGGCCCACCTTCCTCCCCTGCTATGGGTGCTGGCTGCCAGTAGCCCACAGCATCCCCGCTTCACCAGAGAATCACCCTCAGCAGACAGGGACCTCCTTGCCTGGGAGTTTACCTGACCCCTCACCCCACACATGCATCCCTGCCAGGCAGGCCAGAGCCAAAAAATGACCTAAAAGGAATAAAAGCACAGTCTCTTTGCTGAGGGGTAGTTAGTGCTCCCAAGTCCTCCCTGTGGGTCCGGCAGGGCTAGATTTTACCTGATGCAATATGCTTACTCAGCTGTCTCCCCTCCCTTGTTCTGCCTCACCCCTCCTTTATAGGTTTCTCCTGAGACCCCTCCCTCAATAAATCACAGGAATCTTCATGCCTGTCTCAGGCTCTGCTCCTGGGGAGCCTGACCTAAGATAGCAGGTGCCTGGGAGGCAGGCTCTGAGGGTAGGATGCTGAACGGGAGCCACTGACCATATGGCAATGAGGACCCCCTCACTTGTGGCAGGTGGAGATTGATGTCCCGGGTATGGGGTGGCAGTGCGTCACCTGAGGTGAAATGAGATGTGACATAGGTGCGGCACCAGCTGGTGCAATGTCTGTGGCATCTGAGAGATAGGGGCAAAGAATAACTACTAAGACTGTGGATTTGCGTGGCTATTGCTAAGTGTCACTGATTCACTGAGGAAAGGCAACTACAGTCGCAGATCTCTTAATCAGTGATTTAAAGTGCGAGAGTCAGAGGAAACTTCTTGGCAGGAAGCACCGAAAAACACTTACTGCAGCCAGAGGACAGACGGAATGACCTTCCGCCAGAGGACTTCATTGCAAGAGCAGCAGAGCTTGAGAAGAGGCTGTATTCTCAGTTGAGGCAGGTCTCCTTTACTCAGAGCTCAGGTCCTTAGTAGGGAATGAGTGAGACCCCCAAGACTGAGGATGGGGACTGTGGCACCAATGCCTCTCCTTTGGCACACGTACTTATATTGCCACACAGAGGGTTTGTAGGACCAGCTGCAGAGAAGAAAAATTCCTGAGCTTGGTTCACAGATGGGTCAACTTGGTATGTGGGTGCAAGCCAAAGCTGGACTGAGCCTGCACTACAGCCCACTCAAGGGAGACCCTCAAAGACTGTGGTGAGAGGAAGTCACTCCACTAGGCAGGGATTGGGACAGTGCACCTGGCCATTTGCATCACAAGAGAAGTGACTGAGATAAGGATACACACGTACTTGTGGACAGTGATGAATGGCTTAGCTATGGGTCAGAGGCCTGGGAAGAGCAAGATTGGACTATCAGAGAGACAAGGAGACTGGGAAAGAGGCATGTGGGCCTATGGGAGTGCACAAGAAGTGAGCAGAGCGTGTAGCACACTTCACACGAGCCAGCGAGCATCCACTGAAGAAGAGCCACTAAACCAAGTAAGCCGGACGACCCAGCCAGTGGGTGTCAGTCAGTCTCTGTCCTTGCCCCTACCCTCCAAGTAGTTCTTGCATAATGGGGGCTCATGAGCAGAATATTATGGTGACAATGACAAAGTCACGCCTAACCCAACAGCCTTGACTCCCTCTCGCTCAGGCTGATCTACAACCACAGCTGAATGTCCAGCCCATCATCAACAGAAACCAAAGCTGAGCCCCCGATACAACATCCCCTAAGGAGACCAACCAGCCACTTGGTAGCAAGTTTACTACGCAGGACCCCTTCGATCATGGGAAGGGCAGCGGGGTGGTCTGGCCAGGGTCGATACATATTCCCAGTATGGGTTTGCCTCCCCCTCTGATGGAGCCTTAGGCCTTCCCCATGATCTGAGGGTTCACAGAGGGTCTGATTCACTGATGTAGGCTCTCATACAACGTCACTGCAGACCAGCAAGGGCAGTGTGGCAGAGGGCACATGACCACAGGATCCAGTGGTCCTACCACATGTCACACCATCCAGAAGCCGCCAGCCCACTGAGGGTAGAAGGGCCTCTGAAAGATGCAGCTGAGGTAGCACCTTGGAGATGACACCTTGCAAGGGTGCAGGATATGGGCTGTTATCCACAGTATACACCCTAACTCAATGGCCGTTATATGTCTATCAACAGGCAGATGGGATACACTTAATACGAGAAGCAAGTGGATCTGAGCCATGCAAGGGGTAAACTGTAGGAGACCCTGGGTCTCTGCCAACCTGCCCCACCCCCAGCGCCACTGCCTGATGCACGCACCCCCAGCTGCTATAAGTGCTGGCTCTTCACAGCTCACAGTCCCCATTCTGAGGTGACAAGAGCTGCCTGCCTGGGAAATTGCACTCTCTGGGGACACCCACAAATAATGACAAACAACAACTACTAATCCAGAGTGTGACATGCCGGCCTCCTGCCTTAAAGAGAGTCTATGCTGTGGTCGGATTTATGCTCCAATGCCCTTGCTCTGCAATCCTGCCAAAGGCTGCCTCTGCCTGAGCCCTGTCACAGCTCCTCTCTTCCAAGCTTCTCTCACTCTTATAGGTAGTTTCTGAACAGCTGTGCCTCAAAAGCCATCTCCCCAAGAACCGCCATCTCAGGCTCCACTTCTAGAAAGGCAGCTCTTCTTTCTTGCAGTCTCTCAGTGACCGTCTTGGACCCTTTTCTCAGTTCACAGTCTCTCCCTATGCATCTCGACCGTCCTATGACCTTAACCATGAAGTTCTGATGACTCCCTACATGCCTCTTCCATCTGCCATCTTCTCTCCATGCCCGACGCTGTTGCCAGAATTCAAGGCCACCGTCAGTTCTCATCTGCATGACTTCTCAGCTTCCCGGCTCGTCTCTCAGCCCCATCCTTCTCCCCAGATCCACTGGGGCAGGGATTTCTGTCGCTCACTCATATTTGGTTTTCCAAATCTTCCGGCACTTGGCAGTATTATACCTCTCCATCTCCTTGCAGGTGGGCCCCTGTGAATAGTTCTAGAAAATCAGCTGTGAGATAAATAATGTGTGTCCCTTCTGGGCCAAAGCATTCAACAGCCATCATAAGGCCCTCCCGTATGCCCTTCCCCTGCCATTGTGACAAGGAGGCTGTCAGCCTGGGTCCCTGCGTGATTTGTGGAGCTGAGCCTCCCACTGACCTATGCTGGAA